GGGCGTGCCCCGGGGCCTCGTACCCTGCGCCGGCCCGGCGGCGGGAGCCTGCGCCCGGGCCCCAGCGGCCGTCCCGGCTCGGACGTGTTGGGGTACGAGAGCAGGGCCCGGGCTTGCCCTCGCTGGCCAGAGAGCCCCGGGCCCTGCTGCGGGATGTGGCTCACAGAAGCCCAGCTCTCTGGGCCGGTGGTGACCGGATCCCAGGGTCCACTCGGGCGGAGGCCCTCCCCAGGTGCCCCGGGCTCCGGAACGATTGGGGTGGGGCGGGGAGGAGGCCCTGCCCTGTGTGTGTGTGTGTGTGTGTGTGTGTGTGTGTGTGTCTGTCTCAGCTAGTGCTCCCCCCCCCGTGGGAGGGGTGGGCTCGTGCACCTTCTTGGCCACAGCCCAGTCCTGGGCCCCGCGGCGGACGTCGCTGCGCAGGAGCGCCAGCGTGGCCTTGTTCTGGGCCTTCTTCTCCTTTTTCCCCTGGATCTGGAGCGCCTGACATTGCTCTGTGGGCAGGCGGGGAGGCGGGGACAGTGTGGCTAGGACGTGGGCCAAGGGTGCAGGCTGGCATCAGGGAGGCCCGGGGAACCCAGGAGGACGTTGGCCTCCGCGGCCAAGCTTCCTCCTCCAGTCCTGTCCTGGGGCACAAGGACTCACTGCTCAGCCACAGTCATCTGAAGGGCTTTCGGTGGACAGGGCTGCTGCACAGAGGGAGGGTGAGCCCAAGGGATGGCAGTGTCCCTTCCTGTCCCTCTGCCTTTGGGCTCACGTTGCTCTGATGCTCACAAGTCTCCTGATGCCACCCTCTACCCCTCTCCCAGTCCTGTTGGGGGCAAGGAGCAGGGTGTTCTCTTGCCCCTCCAAGTCCCGGACTGTCCTGGTGCTAAGACAGGTCCTGCGCCCCAGCCCCAGGTGGGCCACCGTGGCCGGTCCCTGCAGCGCCAGGCTCACCCTGGAGTCGGGTGATGGTCTTCAGCTCCTGGGTCTGCTCCTCCACATCTGCCTGGCTGTGCCTCCTCATGGCGGTCCTCAGGGTGGTACCTCCCACCCTTCCTGGACTGGGCCTGCTAGACAGAGCCTCACTCCAGACTGTCCCCAGAACCCAGCCCATTGTGAGGGGCCCAGGGTTCTTAGCACCGGTAACCTTGGGACTGTAGGCCCTTCCGCCCCACTCTGCCCCTGCTAGCCTCGGGGGCCTCTGGACACATGTCCTGGTTGAAATGAGTCTCTTGGTGGCTGCTGGTGGCTCAGGAGCACTGCCGGGTCAAGGGGTCTTTCCTTTCTTTCCATTTGGGATGTCACTCTCTACTGCCCAGGCTGGAGCAGTGGCACCATCATGGCTCCTGGCAGCCTCGAACTCCTGGGCTCTTGTGATCCTTCCACCTCGGCTGGGACTACAGGTGTGTGCAGCACCATGCCCAGCTAATTTTTTGATTTTTTATGTGGATGAGATCTCGCTACATGGCCCAGGCTAGCCTCGAACTCCTAAACTCAGGCAATCCTCTAGCCTTGGCCTCCCAAAGTGTTGGGATTACAGGTGTGAGGCCCTAACTAATTACAGGCCCACTGTGCCTGGTCCTAATCTCCTTGTCAGGGCACCAGTTTTATTAGATTAGAGCCCAGACTAATGACTTCATTTTACCTTAATTGCCTCTTTAAAGACTCTGTCTCCCAAGACGGTAGCATCTCCCACACAGATCTTCCGCCCTTTTGCTCACTCTGAGTGTCTGGAAGGCCAGTCCAGTCTAAAACTCCAGGTCCACCCCCTGCCTTCCTACTGGCCCTGGCCAGCCTGCCCCTCAGGGGCTGGGAGGACTTGCTGAGAGCAGGGTCCACTCACCACTCCCTTACTCTTGGGGGTCCAGCTGGGCGTCTGGCTGAGGCAGGGACTACCTGCTGTCCCCTGCTGAGGCAGGGCAGCTCGCACAGCTTAGACATATGAAAGGGACCCCCAAGCCCTGGAACTATTGATGAAAAATGGTGTACTCATTCTGACTTGTTTAAACTTCAGTCGCCTTCAGAGCACTCTCCGTTTGATGCAGTACACCTATCAAGGTGCTTTTTCCACTGCTTGAAACAGTGTTTGAACTCATCCATTCGGGTGCCTTTGAGTGCTTCTGCCGTTTTTGATTTCACGTCTTCCATGTGACCGTGTTTTCCCTTGAGGACTTTTTTCATCCAAGGAAATACAAAGTCTCTCGGACGAGACTGGGTGGAAAGGGTGGATGGGGCACGGGGGTCATGCTGTTTGGGGTCAAAAACTGCTGAACACTCAGCGCGGTGTGAGCAGGTGCACTCGTAAGTCACCCGCCATGAAACGGGCAAATGTGTTGGAAGACGCTCCACAAAACAAATGATTCGCTGAAGCTGAACACAGCCTCTCACGACAAGGCCAGCTGGTACATGGATTCCGAAGGGTTCCTGGAGCACTCGCCTAGTGGGGGAGGCCTGTACTCCAAGGGGCCGGCCCTCCACGCGGTAATTCTGGCTTTCTTTTGGTCCTCCCTCATACTTTGGGCTTGCTCTGGAATCCTTTCCCCTGGCAAAAGCCCCACCCCAAACCCACGGAGCAGCCACACCCCACGCCACACTGCTCGCTTTCTCCGTACAGAACCCCTCAGTTCCAGCAGGGCGCGTGGCGCCCGGAGCAAGGCTGCCTTCCTGGGCATCTTGGACCGGACAGAGCCCATGACTTGGTCCTGGCCAACAGAGCTTGAGCGGATACGGCAGGCGAGTGGCCCTCCTCCCTCTTGGGCGGGACCAAGACACAACGGCTGCAGCGGGGGCAGCCACCCAGGGTCCTGAGGTAGGTTTGGGAACAGAGGCCGTGGCACAGGGAACATGCTGAGGGGAGCCTGGGTCCCTGACTGCCTCTCAACCCTGGGCCACACACTTGGATTTTTCCATGGAAGAGAAAAACGGCCGTAGCTGGCCTAAGCCACTGTCTTCTTGGTCTCCTGTCACTTTGCCTCTCTGCCAATTTTGAGGGCATATTAGGTGCTCGATATACCCTTTTTAATTTTGTTTTGGGGGGTCTCACTCTGGCACCCAGGCTGGAGTGTGGTGGCATGATCACGGTTCACCACAGCCTCAACCTCCTGGGCTCGCAATCCTCCCACTTCAGCCTCCTGAGTAGCTGGGACTACAGGTGTGTGCCACCATGCCTGGCTAATTTTCTGATGTTTTGTTTTCTTTGGTAGAGACAAGGTTTCGCTATGTTGCCCCAGGCTGGTCTCAAGCTCCTGGGCTCAAGCAGTCTTCCAGTCTTGGCCCCCCAAAGTGCTGTGATGACAGGCGTGAACCACCGTGCCCGGCATCAATAAACCTTTTGAGTGACGGGCTAGGTGAGGTGCGGCGGCTGGGCTGGAGAGGCATGGGCCAGGCCGTGGGCCACCGGGCGTTGCTGAGAAGCCAACTGCACCCAGGGGTGGATTTGCCAAGGGTTCCTACAGTCTCGCTTCTGGGGGTGGGGCGTGGGTGTAGGCCCGTCCACCCAGGAGCTTTCCTTCCGCGTGGACAGCGTGGCAACTGGCTGGCTGGGCCCCCTCCTCCTCCCCTGGGAAGGCGGGGCTTCCTCGGATTGGTGAGTCGGGTGATAGGCAGGCGATAGGCAGGCGGGCGTGGCTCACAGGCTGGGGGGTGGGGCCACAGCCTTCCCCTTGGCAGCCAGCTCTGACCGGCCGCACCCCTTTCGCTCTGCTGCCACGTGCCAAGTGGCGGAAGTGCAGACCCCTATACAGGAGGCCTTGGTGGTCTTACACGGCCTGTAGGGCCAGTGGAACGTCTGGGCTTGGCGTTCAGCGCCGGGAGCTTTCCTCCTCATCCTCTGCGTGTAGCCCTCCGCGCGTAATCCTCTGCGTGTGGCCGGCACACGACCCTCGCACGTCAGCCGTGTGGCAACAAGGACGGCACCTAAGCACTCATCCTCTCGCCCTTTGACTCACTTCTTAGTGGCGCAGGTGGGAACTCAGGTGCCCAACAGGACAAGCCACTTATTGGCCCTGCACCTCCGAGCGCCAGCTGTCACCTTGGACTTGGTGGGGCATAGGGGCCAGAAAGAAGATGCCAGAGCCCAGAGAGGGTGCAAAAGCCCCTTCCATCCCAGACGCTTGTGTTGGGCAGGGCACACCCTCTCCGCCCCGCGCCTGCCTTGCTTCTCTCTGCCTGGGAGGAGAACCACCACCCCAGGGAAAGCCCTTCGGCTCCAACCTCCAGGCAGATCCCAGGTTGGGGCAGCAGCAGTCTGCACAGGTGTGCCGGGCCTGGCCACGTACAAGGCCTAGGACATGGCTGGGGCACCCCAGGGTGGGGAGGGCCAGCCTGAGGGTGTCTTCCAAGACTGCCTCTGCCCCAAGTCCTCTGTGCTCGGTTGGAGCTCTCCTAGCTGTGCCGACCTGTAAGAGGCAAAACAAGACAGCTGGAATCATATCCACTTTTGCTTGGGGTCCCTGCACCCATTTTATCATGGCAAAGACTGAGTCCCGGCTGCATGTAGTGGCTCACGCCTGTAATCTCCAACTCTTTTGGAGGCCGAAGTGGGAGGACGCTTGAGCCCAGGAATTTGAGCCCAGCCTGGGCAATATAGCAAGACCTTGTTTCTACAAAAAGGACAAAAAAAACTAGCTGGGTGTGGTGGTGCATGCCTGTGGTCCCAGCTACTTGGGAGGCTGAGGTGGGAGGATTGCTTGAGCCCAGAAAGTCGAGGCTGCAGGAGCCCTGATCTTGCCTGGGTGACAGAATGAGACTCTAACTCAAAAACAAACACTGAGTTCTATACCAAGGACAGCAAGTAGTGGAGGCCAGGCCTGAAATCCCTCAGCCTGGTGTCCAGTGCAGGGTCTCTCAGTCCAGCCACTCCTCTTGGGGTGCTCACGAGGCTACCGTGGCCCTGCCGCCCCTCCATGCCGCACCCTTCCCCTCCATCTCAGGGGCACCCCAGCCCCTCCCAGGTCCTCTTCCTGTGAATGGAGCCCTCCAAGCTCTGTCTGCTGCACTCATCCCGGCTCCGGTGCCCCAGGGTGCACACACTGACGAGGCTGGGGCGAAACGGGGTCCCAGCCGGGCCTGCTTCTGGGCCCCAGGGCTGGCCCACCCGCCACTGGGCCCTGGAGCCTCAGCTTCCACTTCCTGCTGCCCCCAGACCCTCACCGGCACCCGTGTCCTCGGGGAGCTGCCCCGTCTCCAGGAAGAGCCAGAGGTTGCTGCATCTCTGTGTCTCCACTTCGTCACCCCGTAGCTGGCCATGGAACCTGCGACTGAGGAGCAGGAAGCAGGAGGGCAGGGCAGGAGGCTGGGGCCTTCGCCTGGCTCTTCTCAGGGCCAGGGAACCGGGCACAGGCGATGGGTGGGCGCAGGCAGGGTTCCCACCAAGACCCAGGGCTCCATACCAGGGATGCTGGGACCACAGCCCCCAACCCCTAGCGGAAACCCACCCCCGCTGAGGAGACCTGGCACGACCCTGGAGTACCCACCCACGGCCACCAGCAGGCTCCACCGCAAAGGGTATGGGAACTTCCTTTGGATGAACATCTGCAGGCCGAAGGTCATCCCGGTGCCTGCCAAGAGCCAAGGTCCCCACCCATCAGCTTGTACGCGGACCGGGCCCAGGGACCAGCTGGGCGTGGCCTGAGCGGCACCTGCCAGGCCCCAAGCGCCCGCAGGCAGGTGGCTTGGCGGCCACCTGCTGAGAAGCCAGGATGAGGCAGGAGGGCGAGTTTCTGCCCGTCCCAGGGCACCTGGATCCAGCTGACCTGTGACAAAGGTGAAAACTCCCTTCATGAAGGCGTTCGACCGGCACGCGGCATACTCCCTGAGCCCCTGGCATGGGGTACGGGTGAAGGCTCAGGTCCCCTCCCTCTTCCTTCGCCGCCCCTCCTGCCCCTCCCTTGGGCACACCCTGGCTGTGGGGGAGTGAGAACCCGGGGGCTTGGGCACGTCCCGCCCGTCCCTATGCCCAGCGGGCTATCCGGAGCCCCACAGCAAGAGGGGGCCCCGCCCTCTGCCCCTCGTCCCCGACAAGGGCACCCCAGCCAACCCCTCCGCCTCGCGCAGGTCAGCATCCGAGGTCTGGGCCCCGCGTCCCAGGCCGGCCTTCCTACTGGGTGCTTGGCGGCCACGGAACGTCCACCAGGGACAGGCCCAGGGTGGGCGCGAGGACGCTTCCTCCCGTAGGCAGAAGGCAAGGACACAGGCCTGCCGACTTCTCGGTGGGAAGGCCTCCGGGCCGGGCTCCCTGCGGCCTCTGCCGGGTCCTGCTCCCCCGGCGGCCTCAGCCCCGGCGCCTGCGCCCCTCCCCTGCGTCCCAGAGACGGCCCTGCTCCTGCCGGGCCTAGAAGCCGCCTCCGCCATAGCATCCCGGGCCCCACCAGGGCAGGCTAATACAAGGAATCGCCGTCGTCTTCTTCTTTTGGGTCGGTGTCGCTCTGTCGCCAGGCTGGAGTACAGCGGCACAGTCACGGGCCGCTACAGCTTCGACCTCCTGGGCGCCGGCCTGCCGTCCCGGCACTGTGCGGGGCG